GTTATCATCTGCGTTTGTGTCTGTAAGATATGGTTTGCACCCTCTGGAAAAATGACATAACTACTGCTTTCTTTTGCCAGGTCAAATGGATGATGTACTGGATCATATTTGCACTCTTCACGACAGCAGAGACATTCACGGATATCTTTCTTTGCTGGTGAGCACCAGATGGGAGAGGGTCTCTGGAATGAGTTGGAAAGAAAATGAAAATGTTTATAAGGAAGAGGGGCACCAAGGGTGCATTGCCTTCTGAACACAGACTTAACAGCCATCAGGTGCATAGAGGTATTTTGTCTGGCAGGTCTGTGCTTCCTTTCTTAGTGTTGTCATACGAAAAGGAAGAAAGAGGCTGGAACTGCTCAGAAGTTAGTGAGAAATCATTACAGGAGGCTCTGTCCCATGCCTGTAGGAAATAGAACTTTGTCAGAGGCACAGCTGATAACTGAGTTGGATGTTTCCAGAGACCATCACAGAAAAAACAGTAGCTTTACCTACAGGCACAAATCTGGGCTTACCTAATTGTGTTCTGCAATAAATACGCAGAACCTGTGAATCAGGCAGAAAGAGCCCTGCAGCACGGGCGTTATCTCTAGGTTGCTGCATGGGTTGTTGTTGTTCCTGAGATGTTTCCCAGGTCCTTTCCTGAGTAGACTGGGTTGGTGGGTTGGTGGAGAACAGTGACAGTCTATGCTGATGGGAGCTGACTGGTGCTACCAAAGGCTTCTTGGTCCTTTTTGGATTTCTGGACCTTTGTCAGAGCACAAAAATGCCCAATAATCAGATTTAGTTCCTTAAATTTAGATGCTCAAGTCTGGAAATGTTGGTTGCCCTTTTTAGTAAGGTCTCTTCCAAGCTCATAAGAAACCGGTGAGATCAAAGGGTTTCAGGTTTTGGGTCAGTGGATTTTGATTGTAGTGCCTCTCCCTTGTCTAAATCGTGTTCCTGCATAGCACTGAGTACCTATAAGCGAGTCATCCAAAAAAAGGGCATCAGGAGTATTTAGCAGCATGTCAAATCAAAGGAGATAATGGGCATTATTGTCTCTTTATCTAGTTGGAACATAGACCTACCTCCACTGTGATCATGTGGGGCTTTGTTATTTGGAGGAGGTGTTGCGTGGGTGTCTCTGGAGGAATGGCAGAGGGCTTCTCCAGCCTGTGAAATGGAGTATGCTGTCTCTACAGCAAGAGAGAGACCAAGATCTCTATCTTTGGTCAGACGGAAGCCCAACCTGGCAAACCCATGCTCAGAGCAGAGCCGCAGCGGCCCCTTGGGTCGGGCCTGGCTGCTGTATGCCCTAACTGGCTCAGTGACAATGCTGCATTAGCACGGTCCAGCTGGGCTGGCATGCGACCATCACAGGATCTCTGCGCTGCTCTCCCCGACCCCTGCTTCCAAAGGGTACCGTGGAGTTGCCACACTGCTAGCAGCAATATGCCCGCATGAGGATGTTGCTAGCAGGCCAGCACTGTGCTTAGGTTTTGTCCTCCAGAAGGAATCTAAATAATCTAATCTCAAGAAGTCCTTGACTTGTTGTTACAACTGGAGCATGTTCCTTTCGTAGTTAGAGTTAGCGCCCTACTTACTTTGCTGCGCTACCTGAAAGCCACCGTGTGGATTTGCACCCTTTATGCTGCGTGTTGCTTGGACAACAAAAGGCCCTTGTATTTCACTTTCAGTCAGATAAGTGTTATCTTAAAAACAGAAAGACAGAGGGATGAAAGGTGCATAAAAACATCAATGGAACATGAACCTGGGTTGGTTTTTGCTACCTCTTGATGACTGGGGATGCTATGAAGGCAGCATCTGTATTCTCCGCATGGAGACAGCTCCTCTTACCACGCAACAGGGTCTCTTCAAGCCCATTAACTACTGGCCCTAATACCTGAGTAAAGGGAAGATTTACCCATATGCCTAGTTGAGATGTGTGCAAAGATGACTGAATGTGTGTTGGTCCTTGGATTCCCTGGTAAGCAAACTTGCCCTAAGCTAAGAACTGGTCAGTCCCTTCCTGTGCTGAACATCTCTAAACACAACACCGGTTATGTTTGGGAGTGGGCATTAACAGCTCTTTTTCTTCTAGGTTTCCATTCTACTATGAACTCAAAATAGCCTTTGTAGCTTGGCTGCTCTCTCCCTACACAAAAGGTTCCAGCCTCCTGTACAGAAAATTTGTTCACCCAACACTGTCTTCAAAAGAAAAGGTAATCACAGATCCTAGGCTCTCTCTAGGTGAAGGAGGTCTGCAGTGTGTTTGCTCCTGTCTCTGTATCACTCATTTTCACTGAAGGACAGGGAACTGCTGCATCTCTTTCTCTGCCATTTTATCGTCTCTTTTTGTTGATGTTTTTGTTCTTTGTCTGCAGTTGTTGTGTTTTTAAATACTGGCATCTCACTCGCACGTATTAGTTCATCTCTGCACACTTGAGAAGTTTGGAGGGAGGGAGGGGAGTAAAAATATTTCTTGAGTGGCTTTGCACATGCTTGCTGAATGTAGCTGAAGTGCTGTGTTGTGGCTAGGGCTTCTGAGAGCAAGAGGGCCTGGCAGCCAGGGCTTCTTAACTTTGTAACCAGCTCTACATAATACATATTTTGCAGCTATGAGACAAGTAGCCTGTCCTGGCTGTGCAAGGGACTTAGGAAGCACTTGCCTGACTGGGAGAGGTATAGCACCTAAAATCAGACTTGTGAAGCATGTTGAGGTCCTGATTTGAGAAATGCCTCGCTGTTAACTTCAAAAGGAACATTGCAGCTTTGGTCATCTGCCTACCCTGAGGACTACAGTGGCTGTGAATGGGACATTGTCAGGCAGATCCATTTGGCTCTTCTGAATACAGGGCCAAGAACAGCTATTAGCCAAGTATCAACATGCAAACTATTGAGAAGTAAATGACTATTTCCTGCAGTGGCAGCTGTGGCAGTGAAAGATTTCTGTTTAGCCACAGACAGTGAATGAATAGTTGTGTCTCAGTCTTGTCCCAGAAGGACAGTGGGAATCAGTCCTAGGAACTTCTGGTTAGTCTCCTCACAAGTGGTGCTTGTGCATTTTGGGATGCCACCTGTCACCCATTAGGAAGAGGAAAGGAATGGCTAAACAGCCAGCAGCGTCTTGTAGCTTCTGCTCACTGCCAACCCAGCACTTCCAGTAGCTGAGCTCTGGAAGTCTCTGTCACCCATTATTATCCAGGTCCTTGTGTCTTGGGAGAGAGAGGGTTGAGGACAGGGACTTTCATAACCATTTCACTGCATATTGAGCAGCATCTGAGTCCAGCACCACAGGACGCACCAGTCCCATGGGCCTGTTGAAGCCAGACACTGCAGTACTATGCAAAGATATCTCAGATGCTTCTGAGACCACCAGTTCTGGACCCAGGGCTTTACAGCTGCAGCTGCCCAGACCCATGCTGCATTTTTTTTTTTTTAAACTAGGGAGCAGATCGAATTTATCTTTAGAACCCATAGACTGCAAATGGCTCTTGATGTATCCTGGGCCATTCTGCCCAGATGGATGTGGCTGCCTTGCTTCCAGGACCTCTTCATGGAGTTGCACTTTCAGGACCTGGTCATTCATTAACAGAATAAAGAACTCCCAAAGGCTGCAATGGGAGTTACTGCTCCCTGGCAAACTTTTCCTCTTGCAAATGTTAGCTATGAACTTCTCTCCAGTCAAAGTGGGGAAATGGAGGGAGAAGTCTGTCTCCATGAGAGATGACTTGACTCTACCAAGAGAGCAAGGCTGGGAGCACTCTGAACTTGTCCCTCTTGTGCTTTTTTTTTGTTGTTGTTTTTTGTCTGCTGTGACAGGAGATTGATGACTGCCTCGTCCAGGCGAAAGATCGGAGCTATGATGCCCTTGTGCACTTCGGGAAGCGGGGGCTGAACGTCGCAGCCACAGCAGCCGTCATGGCAGCTTCCAAGGTAATGATGCGAGTCAGCAGGGTGACATTAGCATCTGATCTGCATCCGTTGCCAACAGCAGCCGCAGGGTGGAGGAGGAGAGAGAAAGGGGGTAAAGATTCTCTCACTAATTTTGATCGTGCCTCTCAATCTCCCATTCATCAGCCACACAGGTGCCTCCTGGGATGAATACTGTATAGAAGGCAGTAAGTGTGGTGGCAAGTGAACCCCTATAAGGTAGTAAATTCTGGGTTAAGGCTAGGGTCTGCCTCAGACCTCTATTGAAATTTATATATCCTATGTATCCTGTGTATATATCCCATGAAGGATGTTCACTAATGTTAGGTGAACACAGTCATAACCCTGACTAAGTTGTGTTCTTTTGGTCAGCACCACCTGAGGTGAAGGGAAAGGCCTTCCATACTGCAGCTTGTTATAGTTATGCTGAATTGTAGAGAACTCTGGAGGATTTACTGGATTTAGGATTACTCTGATTTGGGTGCTGACAGAAAGCAGATGGGATCTGGAGAAGTTCCTAGAGGTTAGAATTTCAGCTGCAAGGTTAACACTTGTACCTGGTATATACTTCACTGGAGGCTCATTTATATACAAGTGAACGAGAAATGGCATTAGTTGCTTTGGGAAAATGACTAGATGTTGGAGGGATGATCTCATCTGAGGAGGTGTATCCTGTATTCTGTTCCCGGCTTAGAGCCAAAACCAGAAAATAGCAGTTATCTCTGTTCTTTGTTTGCATAAAAACTTCCTGAACTTGATAACTGTGCTCTGTGGTCCTGCTCTTGGACAATGGATTACCCTGATTGAGGGTAGATGAGCGTAGTGACCATACTCTTGTACTTTGAGAGGCAAAACTTGTAGAGAAGATAAGGCTTTCACGCCAAGACAATGCCTTTTGCAAAAGGATAGTAGAAACATATGGATGGCGTGGGTGCTGCCATTAGGAAAAGCATATGAATGGGAGTTTAAATAATTGATTTTGCTCTGCCCCTTGCTTCTCATATGACCTCGGGCACATCATTTAGTCTCTCCTCGCCTTAGCTTCTCTAAAAAAGAATAATACGTACTTGGATGGCCAAATATGTTAAGGTCTATAAAGCACGTTGAATGGAATATATTATGGAAGTGGGGAATCCCTAGGATGTGCCATGCAGAAAGAGCTGCATCAGGTTCTGAAGAAAAGTGAAAGATTTTTCTCCCCTTTCTCTGCCAAGCATTGTGCAGACTGGGGCTCTCAGGCCATGGGCAGTTCAAACTCTACTCTGGAACTATTGCTTTTTCAGCGGGGAGGCTCTGCTGACCCAGAGACTGCTGGCTAACCCAAATCTGAACTGAAACCTGGGAAGAACACGGAGCTAAGGCAAAGCTGGCTGTTACGTGCCCAGGGACTCAGCTTTTGTGTGATACCTCCATGACACTGAGGCTTTTGCTGCTGCTCACGAAGCATGTAGAAGTCACAGCCTTGGACATAAGTTAGGTTTTGGAAATGCCTGTTTGCAGCACTCCCTTTGCTCTGAACTCCTTCCTACAATGCCCTGCAGGCTTTCTGTGCTAGAGCTCTTTGTAGGACACAGGGAGAAACTGTGCTTAAAGCCTGAAGAAATTCTGATTCCTGTTTGGGCCCCAGACTATGGGAAGCCTGACAGTGGCCCTGAACCACAATGCCCAGTTATTCCTCTCAGGACTGGGACAGTGTCTTTATCAGCTCTTTATGAATGAACAGTCAGCACTACTGTTTTTATTCCTACCTTTCTGCTTTTCCACTATGTTTCTTAAGAGTCTTACTCTCTTGAAATGCAGGCCCAGTGACAGCAGGAGGCTGGGCAGGAGGGAGAAGAGTCTTCAGGGCACAAGGAAGATGCTGTGTTGCTTGAGTTAATGACGTTCCCCACTCAGCGCTGAAAGAAAGGAATCCATGCTGTGACTTCTGTAGTAGTGTTGTACGGTGCATCTGCGGGCAACCTTAGAGACAGTAGTTAAAATAGTGCTGCCTGTAATGGACCAGAATAATGTTTCTGGCACACTACTTTGGGGAGGGGAGAATGATCTGTTGATAATATTGAGAGGGAGTTATTGGACTGATTGGATTTTTACAGCAAAGCAAGGACCATTCTTGTCTTTGCTTCAACCTAGAGATTAAACTTACTCTGAATACCTGAGGGGAAAAATAGGACTCCTGGTTTCCCTCATCACTTCAGCATGTGACCTCCAGCAAGTTCCTTGCTTTTGTGTGCCTCAGGGTCCAGATCCAAGAGACAGGGCAAGCTGATGTAACAGTTCTCCTCCTCCAGAATGGGCTGGTGTTCCTACTCCCACTGGTACGCTGTGCACCAGCTCTTTGGACCTCTTCAGGTTATCTCTAATCTATCAGAAGGAAAACCCAGAACGAGAAAGAAAGGGAATACCATTTTTCTTAGCACATAAAAGAGCTCATAAATGTGTCTCAGGAGTGCCTGAGCCAGCACGAGGGAAGGGACAGAACTGCATAATGAGAAGTATGACCAGAGGAAAGCAAAGCAAGATCTCCTCGTCTGGTAGTGAGGAGCCGTCACATTAGATCTGCTGCTCACGGGACCGCACCCTTGATATATTTGCACCCTTCATGGTGTATTAGTCAGGAATGGCTGAAATGGTTTCTGGCCCTCCCCCTTCTCTCACTGAATTTGCCATCTTTTTGGCAGAGAGAGTTGAATGGCTGAGATCTGCAGCCTGATGTGTTGCAGTGCAGAAGTGCTGAACTGGGATTGCTCCAATATCCCAGGATGTAAAGCGTGATGGGTCGGGTGTGGACATGTGCCCAGAGGGAGCCATCCCCAAGAGAAGGGTGATACAGGCAACTACGGGTGGTAATAACAGCTTTTGTTGCCCTAGTTTTCAGCTGCTGTTAAATGTTTGTCAACACCCTTCCACGCTCACTGGAGAAAGAAGTATAATAGGACTAGATTGTCCCACACAAGAGAAGCTTAAGTAACTGATTATCTGGAAAACACTTTGAGCTGACAGATGCCAAGCAAGACTGCAATACTGTCCTTAGGGGCGAGTTTCTGGGGACAGGAGGAGAACACTATTTGTAAAGCTTATTCTGGCTTTCTGAATGCCAAGGTTTAAAGGTATCTAGCTAGCATATGATAAGTGTTGAGCATAGATGTGAAAGTAAGCCCTGAACAGGTTCATTGGGTTACAGCCTTTAACTGGTCAGGTTAAAATTGGAGCCTGTTGCAATGACCCTATCTTCAGAAGTGTTGAACACCTGCACCCCCCTTGGAAAACATGGCTTTTACCAGCAAGAGGAAGTGAGGATCTCTCTTATTTCCTACTTTACTTGGATTAATGGGTGAGGAGAAGATGCCTTGTTATTAAGAAATGGACCCTCAGACTTTGCAAATCAGCATCTTCTGCTGGCAAATACCCAGTGAGGTGCTGGGCTGAAAGTGTACTCCTCACAGACCTGTTTTCAGAAGTGAGCTTAAATCTAAAGCTCTTGTACTTGGAGACATGCCTCCCACTGTGCGTAGCCCTGTCCTCTCCCATTTTTCTAAATTGTTTTAACTGATCTTATACTCCCGCAGTGGTGTGGATCCGTCATAGTCTTTGGCGATAAGATCTTTGGGCCAAGCCCATCTCTTTACTCTGTTTATAGATCACTCAGCACAACAAGGCTGGCTCTCAGATTAGGGTTTCTGCATGACGCTACTTGTGTATTTATTGCAGGCTAAGATGCTGCAAACAGCACAGACGCATGCACCTTCATTATCTCCGATCCCCTGGCCGTTTCCCCTTTCTATTTTAAATAGCCTATATTTTTAAATAGCCAAGTGCAGGCTTCTCTTTTCCTCCCTTCCTCCAGCCCCCCTCCCCTGTTGTGTTTTGTTTTGAAGCCACAGTTGTGCTAACACTGGCACAAACCTGCGCCAATTCAGTTTACAGACTGAGGAGCTGTCAGTGTCCCAAGTATGCTGTGCCCACCCAGCTGGCTCGCTTGGGTGTTTTCTCTCTGGAGAGTCTATTTTTGATGCTCTCGAGGTGGAGACAGAGCATCAGACGTCTGATTTTTTTTTTTTTTTTTTTTACCCCTGCTAGGTACTCAGCACAGATCTTTTCTATGCCCTCAGCAGCCTGTGTTCCCCTCCCAGAAGCATAATCTCATTTGGGGCTCTATAATCTTGTCCTCATTGCTTGGTCACCCTGTCACGCGCTGTGACTTCAAGTGGGTCAGTGCTAAATGGCAGGATTAGATGACCAGGCAGTAAATCCTGCTGTTCTTTGCGTGTTTTCAATTAGTTA